GGTCCCTTGAGGCTTAATCACAATAAGCGAAGTAATTGAGCCAGGTCTGGAGATAATGGCTGCCAAAAACACTCTTCCACTGTTGCCATTATGGCACTTCCTGTGCTTGCCATTGATGAGGTTGGTCATGCTGATGACGCTACAAGTAATCACAGCTGTAACAATGGTGCGTCTCAGGGGCATTGCAAAAAATTGTATTCTTTACATAAGTACAGTATTTGTTAAAGCAGAAGCATTTACAATTCACATGCTCAAATTATAATTTTTAATCTTAGTCTAACTGTTTAGGTGATAAACAATACTTAACCATTATTTTTAGTTGATATACAATATTTGTGCTGCATATTTCAACGTAGTTTGCTATATTGAAGTATGAGGCACGTTTTCCACATTATTTTTATGCACTGTCCCACTACATTTCATTCTTTTTTTCATTAAGCTGTTGCTCGCTCTCATTGCGTGGCACAAAAGTAATGAGAAAAGCATTTTATTGAGCTCACGAGGATTATTACTGTTTGTGCCTGGAGTATCATGCACTACAAACCTCTCCCAACTGTATTGAGTTACTCAAAAGGCACAAACATATTACAGAGACGTGAATTGCAGTATGATCTCCCTGGTGGTTAAGTTTATAGTATCAAGGCAGGTAAAAGGGCAATTGACCTTTCAAAATGCTAAGTGCTTGCAGCTAAATTGTCTTCTTCACTGTCCTTTGGTTTTCAATCACATTCGCAAGTTTAAAATGACCAAAACTCAAAGCACCTGTTTGTCAGCACACATAAGGTCACTGAATGGTTTCACAGATATTTTCAGCCATACCTTTGCCACAAATGGACTATATATCCATTCAGGTCTACAAAAGTTTCCATTGCCATTGGCTATTTAAGTTACAATTTAACTTTCCATGACTAAGATCAAATAACATGATACATGTCTGCAGATGTGAAACCCAGGGTTCAACAGGGTTGAATTGTTGAGTTTGATGAAAGGGTGGCACTATTGCTGCAATTGGCTGTTTTTCTAGTCTCTGAAACCATAAGAAAAAACTTATTTCTTTGACCAAAATGCATGCCTGTTACCACTGCTGCTAAAAGGCAGCCTTTTCCGTCTGTTTTCTTTATACAATGATTTTCCAAGCAACTATCGGAGCTGAAAACATGAGGCAACTCTCCAAACTGGAGAAACCTTAGGGCAGCAGACTCAGCAGGGTAACCCTGGGTTTCACATCTGCTGCAGTTCTGCAAAATCCTGCAACAGACAGTTTGATTGTTGATTTTGTAGTGTACATGTCTAAAGTTGTCTCGTATCTCCTGTTTTTTCACTCAGGTACATACCAGGGCCAATGGGTGGGCGGCATGCGGCATGGATACGGCGTACGACAAAGCGTTCCATATGGCATGGCAGCCATCATCCGTTCACCTTTGCGTACCTCCATAAACTCTTTACGCTCTGAGCACAGCAATGGCACAGCTCTGCTGACTGGCGATCGAGCGCCTGTGGCTGGCGTGGGGGGCATTGGTGTCCTAGCAGCGGGTAGCCCAGCCGTGTCCCGTGGAGGCTTCGTTCTGATGGCCCACAGCGAGGCCGAGCTATTGAAAAACAAAAAGAAGGGCTTGTTCCGCCGCTCACTCCTGAGTGGTCTCAAGTTGCGAAAATCTGAGTCCAAGAGCTCATTAGCCAGCCAGCGGAGCAAGCAGAGTTCCTTCCGCAGTGAGGCCGGATTGAGTACGGTGAGCTCCGCTGCATCCGACATCAACTCAACCATCAGCTTAGGCGAAGGGGAGGGTGAGCTACCGGTAGGCGAGGATGATGTAGATGCCACTACAACGGAGAGTTACGCAGGCGAATGGAAGAACGACAAGAGGACAGGCTGCGGGGTAAGCCGGCGTTCCGACGGACTGCACTACCAGGGTGAGTGGTTGGGCAACAAGAGGCATGGCTATGGATGCACCACCTTTCCTGACAGCACCAAAGAGGAAGGCAAATACAAACAGAATGTTCTTGTCAGTGGCAAACGCAAGAACCTCATCCCACTACGTGCCAGCAAGATCCGCGAGAAAGTGGACAGGGCGGTTGAGGCGGCAGACAAGGCCGCCGACATAGCGAAGCAGAAGGCAGAGATTGCGCTCTCAAGGTAAGACACAGGGGTCTTGCGTCAATAACATATCTTTGCTAGCTGCTTGTTGACATCAAAAAGCACTCTAACCCAATGCCAACATACTTTCTCAAAGCAAACCAAGGCGGTTTCCTAATTTTAGGGTGAAAATAATGCTTTAATGATTTTACTAGACTGACTTCTGGTTTTTAAATGGTTGAAAGGCCACTTGACAAGCTCAATGTTTGTGCAGTCAAATACTAATGTACTCTTGACAAAATTAGCTTTAAGTACACATGCATGTTTCAAAAGGATCAAAAATGTTGATGACTCACTCACATTTTTGTCCAATTAGATCCTCTAGAATAAGTATACCCTCCCATCTGCAATATATATAAATTATAAGCAATGACATATTTCCTACTGAAACAAAGTTTCACTTAGTGTCTGTGCTATTTCTCTCCACAAGTTATGACTGATATGTCTTGGTATTCATTTAAAAGTATTATTGTTTGCTGTCTACCACGGAGCCCGCACATGACATGCAGGAAAGAAGTGTGCACGATTTACTCATTTGTTCCCTTGTTTTAAGTAAGCCATGTGCACTAAATAATAATTAGTTCTACTTCCTGTCAGCATTCTCATAAACCTGTTGCTGCTATGTTATGCTATTTTATGGACAGATACACTTTAATTGGGTTTTATTTTGAGATGGGAATGAGTTATAGAGACGTTCTCAAAAGCCTTGCAGTGCTGCATGGAATAATTTTAAGTGAGAGGCACTACATCAGTTTATTAGAATGTGGACAGGAAGTAGAACAAATTATTTAGTGTGCACGATTTACTTAAAACGAGGGCGCAAATTATTATTTTGTGCACGCAATTTACTTAAAACGAGGGAACAAATTATTGTATTGAGTGAATGATTTACTTAAAACTAGAGAACAAATTACATCTGATAGACGTGTTTAAGATGTCAGTTTTACATACATTATAAATCATAAACATCATAAAGACATCTTCTAAACATCTATTTGACATCTGATAGGAAACGT